CAGTGTATAAATGTTTGACTTTCCAAAACTTAAAACTTTAATTTTTTAAAATTTTTTTGAAATGAATTTACTTTTGAAGGAGCTAACCTGCACTTATGTTAAGCTCTTGCAATTAAAGAAATTTCAGGTTTTAATTTTCTTAAAAGCTAAAATTGCCTGAAAACTTTGGCGTCTGGCATAAATAATAAAATTTCTAAAAATCATGTTGAGAATTTAAAACCTGCTCACATCCATGCATTTTTCAAAACCATACTTGCCTAAAGAAACTTGTCTAACCTTGATTTTTAATATTCTAAAAATTTTCGTTCTGTCATCTTTGCAGTTTTTGAGTTTTGTGCAGTCTTCAATAAGTTTTAAAAAGTGACAAGACTGATTTTTGACTTATGTAAGCACGATTGTTAATGATTCTTAATTTTTATATTCCATAATAAAGACTTGAAATTTCAGGTAGAAAAATGTTTTGAGGCAAAATTCTGCTAAATTTGTTACGCACTGTAAATTTTTAATTGCTTCCCCACCAACCCAATGGCTGGAAGCAGATGTTCGTTAGATTACATCATGGGGTATATAGTTACTACGTAGGCAGTTACCAAATTTAAGTTTTTAATGAAGGAGCTCTATAAACGTTCCCAAAGAGAAATTTTTGGTCTTCTCGTGGTATCCGAAGATACGTCGCTATTTTTGAGATGTGAACAATCCTGAGCAAGGCTGCTATTTGTCGATCGTATGACAAACATATTTATTTCTCAATCATTATGTGCATTTTTTTAACATTAAATATTTCATAAATTTGATGATATTTCTTTCTTTTGTGTGTTTGTCCTGTTTTGCGATATTTTGCTGCAATATTTTTAATTTAGAGTAACGAAAGGTTTAAGAGCAGATGATAAAGCGAAGTAAGTGACTGAATTCATTGTTTGTCACTCATTAAGAGTTGTCTCGATTTCAAAGACCTCCCGCGCCCAAATGAACGTCCGAGGACGTCCCTCTTAATAAAAACTGTCATCAGATCCCTCAAAACTTTCAAGTTAATTGTTGTTAGCTGGAATGGAACTAAAGATATTAATTTTCATCACCCTTTTAATTAACGTAATTCATGTATCATTTCATTTTAAATATTAATCTTTAATACATTATAAATTAGATTTAATGCAGATTTAAATATGATGTCAGTAATACCAAAGCCTCATCAAATTTACCTACAGAAGGAAAACACGGCTGTTTATAAAAACGAGAGGTAAGTGGAAGCTTTATCTTGGATATCAAGAAACAAGAATAATTTAGATTGAACTCTCTCATTATTTTTTTTTATTTTCAAGAAATATTTTTTTGCGAATTATTTTAAGTGTTTAGGTCATGCATAACATTTTTCTCATTCATAACAAGTTTAAAGTTTTTAGAGATTAGAACAGGCAATAAATTACGAACGGAAAAGCTTTCAACACCCTATGCAAAAAATAAATAAATAAATAAGCTTGCAACTAGTATGATTTACTTTGGTTACTATATGCAATAACTGCACAAAATTCTCTAATCCTAGCTTAAATATTCGGGGAGATGTAAACTTCATTTGCCTCAATTTTTCCAAATATTCAATGAAATAAAACTAAGTTTTTAGAGCAATTTTTAACGAGTAGCATATTTTAAAATGTAAACATTTCGCTGCAAATTGAGCGGAATACAGGCATTTAAAGCAATTTTTTTTAATTCTGCAGATGCTCAGAAATTATCTGAATTTTTCCACTATTTTTTCCAAGGCTTATTTGGTAAAGAAAAAGAGCCAGATTTAAATATCTAGAAAATGTAAAAGAATTCCAGAGCAATTTTTCTAAGTAGCTTTTGTACTTTTTATTGAAAGCTCTAAATGGTAAAGGGTTCTCCAAAAATTTCAGTTTGCATCATATAACAAAACTTATTGACAAATGATACCCTACAATAACTGTCTGGGCGAATTGTTGAATTCTTTAAATTCCAACTGAAATATAAATATTCACATGCTAGTATGGGTTTAAAAAGGGAACCAGTTACTAAGTTGAAACTTGATGTGTTAGTTTGAAGTCAAATAATCTTGAAGTCAAGTAATCAATGAAAACATTTGAAAACTGATTTAGGGACAAAATTTTAAATAAAATTTTTGAGAAAACAGTTTATTACAATTTAGAATGTGGGAGTAAATTTTTTGCTCTCAGTGAGTGAGTTACAGTGTTTTTTCTCTAACTTTGAAAATTTTATGTATTTACTGTTCCTGGCCAAATTATTAGACGCACTGTAATAATCTATGTAAAATCTTAATTATCAGGTGATACTATACAGCTTTATTGTTTTTACGTGTCTGAAACCGTTTTGCACTTGCTTACGTTCGTGTATCAATGGGTTAAATTTGACGATATATTATATATCGTCGATTTATTTATGTAATAAATCATATATTCGCCGTCTAATTTTTATAATATATCAATATATTATATAAATTATACTATGATTTTAGTATATCAAGTATTATATTAGTATATTGTAATAATTAGACCAAATTATTGGAGGCACTGAAGTCTTTTAATATTTACGTGTTTTGCACGAGTTTATATGCAATATTTTTATATTTAAACATACATGTAATGGGTTTTTATTCAGGAGATTTTTTATATACTTCCTATTTGCATTTATTTTTACCGTATGGTCTTACAATGTTAACCAATTGATACACGAACATAAACAAGTGTAAACCAGTTTCAGCCGCGTAAAAACAGTAGCGCCGTATAGTATCGCCTGATAATTAAGATTTTACATGGAATCTTATTATGCGTCTAACTATTCCGCAAGGGACTGCATATGTCTTGTAATTTCAATTATTCTGACTAACTTTTCAACTGACCTAAAATGAACATCTTTTTTACAAGGCTATAATAAGAAATTACATTCTTGTTCTTAGCTACCAGCGATAATAACACAACACCTGATTTTAGTATATTCATCCTCAACGAAATTTTGTGAGTTTTTCAGAAAACAATTTTTACTGCGTTATTTATTTGAAATTGATTTTATAAAAACCATTAATTTTCAAAACCCGCTTGAACCCAAATTCTATTTTAAATGTGAGAAATTTATCATATATAGAATGGTAGAATGGTAGAAATTACATAAATCTTGGTGCGCTGCCGCGAAGCGGCATTAACCGATCCATCTGTAGTAGTAATTCGATGATGAGGAGTAGTGAGGTGGATTGGAGATGGGGGGAAGAGGTGGTGCTTAGCACCACAAATCGAGAGTGTATTTCGTGTGCTAGGGCTACGTCATATCCCTAAGGAAAAAGGCAGTGATTGGGCTAAATTTAGTGNGTCTTTTAATATTTACGTGTTTTGCACGAGTTTATATGCAATATTTTTATATTTAAACATTCATGTTATGGGTTTTTATTCAGGAGATTTCTTATATACTTCCTATTTGCATTTATTTTTACCGTATTGCCTTACAATGTTAACCAATTGATACACGAACATAAACAAGTGTAAACCAGTTTCAGCCGTGTAAAAACAGTGGCGCCGTATAGTATCCCCTGATAATTAAGATTTTACATGGAATCTTATTATGCGTCTAACTATTCCGCAAGGGACTGCATATGTCTTGTCATTTCAATTATTCTGACTAACTTTTCAACTGACCTAAAATGAACATCTTTTTTACATGGCTATAATAAGAAATTACATTCTTGTTCTTAGCTACCAGCGATAATAACACAACACCTGATTTTAGTATGTTCATCCTCAACGAAATTTTGTGAGTTTTTCAGAAAACTATTTTTACTGCGTTATTTATTTGAAATTGATTTTATAAAAACCATTAATTTTCAAAAATTTCACTAATATTGAGCCGTTGAAAATTTTCCGAAAAAACACTAACTTTGTCTTTAAAAAAAAGCAAAATCAACTGCTTCGGTGGCACAATTAGTAAAAATGTTTTTAGAAAGAATGAAAAATGCTGCTTTATTTTTAGCGATTCAATACGAATTTTTTTTTTTCACGGCTGGCACTGAACTTTCGTTCTTCACCTTGGAAGATGCCGGAAGTGTTGCTCATTTAACGTTACACTCAGTGGGCCCAGTATTTTAGCATCGCTTACAACTATTTTGTATTTTAAATTATGTTGTTTAACACATACGAGGGCTGTTTATTAAGTAAGGGTCGTTTGAAAATAAAAACCAAGCGAAAGCAAATTTATTTTTTTGATTCTACACGCGTTTCTTTTTTTCTCAAAATAGCTGCCAAGTTTGCTTAAACCCTTATCATGCCTTACAACTAGATTTAGAGTACCCTATTTGCCGCCTGTTTCGATAACCAAGAGAACGCGACCGTTTTTACGGCTTCGTCATCGTTGTATTGGTTGCCGTCAAAATTATATTTGAAACATCGGAAAAGATGAAAATCACTTAGCGCAAGGTCTGGAGCGTATTGAGGGTTGGTCCAAAACTTCCCAGGCAAAAGAGTCCATTAAAGCTCGGAATCTTCCGGTGAATGTATGCAGCAGACTGGTTTTTGCTGACTAAAAACGCATCACTGACTGTACCTCATACGCGGTGGGCGATTTGCTAAACCATCACCTCCTACATCAGCAAGCTTCCACAAGGTTTAGTCTGTGCAGACTATTTAAAAAGTGAACCAGTTGTGCGCTTGAACCCAAATTCTATTTTAAATGTGAGAAATTTATCATATATATGAGAGAGAAATTTATCATATATATTTGAGAATTGTATCTGTAGTTGTAGACAAACCAATCATGTTCATAAATTAAACAAAAAACCACTTTCTTATTTTTTCTAGATTTTCTTTTAAAGGGCTCTTTCGTAAACTGGTTTACATCTATAGTGGTCTGATCAGACTACCCTTAAAAAGCCGTGTGGAGGCTAAACTTAAACATTTTGAAGACACAGAACTGACCGTTACCTACACAGCTGTAACTGAGCACAGTTGTTCCCAAGGAATGCCAGGACACAACGCAAGCGTCACCTATTCGTGTACACAACAAAACACCCCTTACTTAAAAAACAGCTCTTATCATTAGAATGAAGACAAAAGAAGCAACGCGACAGATTTTTATTGTATCACACTCTAAGAAAAGAAAGACATTTTTGACAAACAAATATCTTGAAAATCGATGTATTAAATATTTTTAGTTTAGACAATTGATTGGTTTTTAAATTGGGTAGTTTCTCTTACGTCCTAATCTGGGTATATAATTCGCTCGAAGACTGTAATTTTCTGACTTGCCTTCAGCTCTGTTTAACCTTCTAGGATATTTGATCAAATGCAAGAGCAATGTCTTTAGAATATTTCCATCATAACTTTCTTTTCTCCGGTTACGAGAGCTCTCTTCATTTGAGAAGTTTTCACTTTGGTCACTTTCTAAACCTTTGTTACAGGACAAATCTTTTGCATGAACTTCACTCCAACAAACTAAAAAGGCAAAAAAAAACTTATTTTAATACTTCAAATAACACACATACATCTACAATACAAAACATCATGCGTTTGTAATACAATTGCTGAATGATTATTCTTTTTTGTACTGTATCAATGCATGTACGTATCAAATTTCATTAAAATCGGTCCAGTAGTTCTAGAGATAATCGACCGAGTCTACAAACTCTCTTAATTTCTAAAACTAGTGTATTCTTCTTATTATTATTACCACTAGATTAATTTAATGCTATAAATGAATATTACAGTGGGAAGAAATTAAGTTTTTTTTCTCGTTATTTCGGTTTGTACCTGGTTTTATCCGATCAGGTTTACTTCCCTTATTTAATATTTACAATATTACATTTAATAATATAATATATTTAATATTAGTATATTATTAAATATTTACTTTTCCTAGATTTCCAACTGATATTAATTTTGAGTACTCTAATCAGAAGGAAGGTAGTCAAAATATCAACTGCCGATAAATTCCGTCTGTAGTGGTCTCATAACAATTGTAATATTTAATTTCATCAGACATAGAGCTCAATCAGAAATCACTTTAACTCACTGATTCCTCTCGAAATTTCTATTGACGATACTTTCTATTCGATGGCAATGTGACGATAAATTATGCTGGTAACAATTGGCAAACTATTGCTGCCAAACATAGAGGTATAGTTACAATTTAAGAATTTGAGATTTTGCCTAGTCGAATTGTGGCCAGAACTTACCAGCTGTACGATAATATGACTCTAAATTCTGTTTTTAACAAACAGAAAACGATTAAAGTTCCATTAAGTAGAGATATAAGGACTCTGCCTAATCGGAAAGTGGTCTAAATTTTGATTCCACCGATACAAACATGAGAATATATTAATGAAAACGTATAGTAGCAAAAGATATTTTGTTTCTTTACGTTTCACTATTCCACCTCTTACGCTATTAAAACTTAAGAACAAATCGAAATGACATAATCTTAAATACATCACACATACTGCTGGTATATTAATTGCAAATAATATATTGTAGCAAAACTGATAATATTCATTTTTATGGAAAATCTGTTATAAAAATATATGCAAATTAATATTTTATGTTACGAAGAATGTAAAAATTTGAACACTTAATTCAACTTTATTACTTTTTTCCTTTACCAAATAGATTCACTCCACCGAGTACTCAAAAATTATAACATTACTTTTATTTCTTATACATTTTGTGTACTGTTATATTTGTATGTAGGCGTTCTGCAATATTTATTTAAGCTTTAGAGAATTTTATAAAAAGAATTTTCAAAAACAATGTCAATTCTTTCATCTTATTTTCACTATTTTTTTTATTGCAATGAATTGATTTGTTTCATCCCCTTTATACAAATCAATATGTTATTCGGACACTTTATATAAATGAATGCGCTGATCAGACACTCTATTTAAATCAATGTGCTAATAGGACACTTTATATAAATCAATGTGCTAATCGGACATTATATTTAAATCAATGTGCTAATCGAACACTTCATATAAATCAATGTGCTAATTGGACACTTTATATAAATCAATGTGCTAATCGAGCACTCTATTTAAATCAATGTGCTAATCGGACACTTTATATAAATCAATGTGCTAATCGGACACTTCATATAAATCAATGTGCAATCTTGAACGACTCATATATAGATTATTTTAAAACTCAAAACACTCAATACCAGTACTTGTATTCGGTATTTGATGTGATTTTTATTAATTTTTAAATGAATCAAATCTGCATTTAAACTTGAAATAATAAACCTGTCAGCAAATCATATCGTAGAAACAAATTCCCAAAAAATGCAATTAGTCTGAAAAGTAATTTTTAAAACAACATCACATCTTTTACTCTATAAAGTAGACAATAAGTTTTTTTCTTTCCACTTAAACAGAATTAAATATCTTTTAGAACAAAAGATCAAATGATATTTCCATTAATTAAATTCTGAAAATAGAAAAGTCATTAGTGATGCAGCTTATTTTCTCATTTTATAAATTTTGAAGCTAATTAAAGAAATAATTTAACATATCAGCGAATATTGCAAAAGTAAAAAAAAAACATTATCAATTAAATTTGCAGTAAATATTAATGTGTAAATTAAAAATTAATTTTTTTAGAGTAACGATTTTTTCATAAAACATTAATGTCATGTAAAATATTAATGTAATCTACTGAAGAAATATGCTCGTTGTTAAAATATTTCGGTGATAATAATTAAAAAAAATATACGTGGCTTTGTCTGTAGTACATAGACTTTTCAATTAATTCAAATTAGAGCTCTGATATTGAATAGTAAAAAAAAGTATTTGGAAATTTTATTATAAATCAAAAGTCATAAAACATTAAATCTAATTATCCAAAGATAAGTGATCCCCAAAAATATAAATTTTAAGTCTAAGGCATTAAAAGTTACTGTTTTCTTCAGAAATGGTATATCATTACAATTAATTAATTCAGGTTTTATTTTTGCATCATAAATACACTGATAAAAAATGTATTTTTTTGCTAAATGAGTAATAATAAGAGCTGTAAACCAGAATTTCTGGTACACAGGTACCATATGAAAGGAAAAATTAACAAATTAATTGTTTTAAGTACCATACATTTTGGTTTCATAAACCAGAATTATGTTGTTGTTTTTTTTTAATCAGAAATGTCATTTCCATTCAGTGTCGTAATTTTACCAGAATTTCGTCTCATAAAAAGTTGTAATAAACTCTAAAACATATTTCCCTTGTACATGTAAGAGTTTGCCCAGAACACTTCCCCATTTTTAAAAATATTCAACATTCTTAGAATAGAGCACGTCTTAAGAGATGGATACGATAACATTAACACAGCCTATTCAGAACTCTATTGATATTATTTATATTATATACTCCTGATATTTACTGTTTTTTGCAATATACTTTTTCTATTCAAACAAAATTTATATTAAAATAACTTTTTAATGAATTTTAGCATATCAGATTATCTTAAACAATATAGTAATGGGGAAAACTATCGGTGCTTTTTTGGACTAACATATATTTTACGCGAAAATGACATATTGTTATTGAAATATTTCAAAAAAACATGAAAAATATTTAAAAAATTATTTTGAGGATGAATAAATAAGTTTAAAGTACTTGTTTTAATCAAACGTACATTTGATGAATTTTTGATTTTATTTTTAAATCTTCAAAAATATCTTTTCAAAAAATTAATTTTTCTTCTAATTAAAAAAAATTAATTTTAACTCTAAATTGTATATTTTTAAATCTAATTAAAATTTATTAGCTTATAGATCTTAAAAATTTGAAAATATTTTTTAAAAGCGTATAAGTATTAAAAACATCCTTTCCTTAAACTTATAAACAAGCAAGGAAATCAATTATAAACTTTTCGCACATATACTTGGTTTAATTTATCTAATAACAACTGACACATAATAAATAACTTCTCTAATAACAATTAGATTAATTATTTATTATAATTTGAACTTGGACTGATTATTATTATTTATTATAATTTGAATTTGGTATAATTTATCTAATAACAATCTTTAAAAAAGTACTATAGTAACTGTCAACATTAAGATTTTTCTGGCACATCTATTTGTTTTAGTAAAAACTTAAAAAATGATAAGCAAAGAAAGAGAGAGAATAAATGTTTTCCTGCACCCTAAGGTCAAGAAAACTAAGATGGACACAGCCCCTCTATTGGCTGTAGCGCCACTGAGTTTAGTTTAAGGGTATTCTATGAAGTTTTCGAGTCCCGCAGTGGACTAATCGTTAAGACACGGTTCCCAGAAGATCACCGAAGTCAAACATCACTGGCTGCAGTCAGTGTACGGGTGGGTGACCACTTGGATTAGTCTGCGTAGGGACCGAGGGTGTGCGGTATTGGTCCTGGTTAAACTGTTCTAACGTAAAGTGCTCGATTTCACGTGCAGGTCGTCGGGCTACCGAAGCGGGGGTTCCATCCCCTCGGCAGAGGATCAAAATTGTGATGGCATGTCTCTGGATCATCCTCAGGGATGTTTCCCACACCGTCGCCAAACCCATTGTGCAGCTCTAATGCTACGTAAATGAACTACAGCAACAACAACATGAAGTTTTCGATACTTAAAATAAACGAAACGTGAAGCTTCCTTAATGACTGCCCTTTGAAAAATATTTTTAGAATCTTTGTTTAAAAGGAAGCAAAAAAAGAATGCACATAAGGAGTCGAAAATTAATACTTACGCTAGGAAGAAAAAGTGCTATCGATAATCTTGCGAAATTTATATAAAAAAAGAAAAAATGACATCAAATCAGTAAATACCATCATCCCCCTCATATAGTCGAAACCGCAGTATATTCAACAATTAAACACTTGATGCCTTTTTCCATTGTTATAACTGAGAAATATATTTTAAAAATATAGAATTTTTAAAAAGAAATAATAATTTAATTATAATGGGTTGTTGTTGTAGATTATTTACGTCGCACTAGAACTGCCCAATGGGCAATTGGCGACGGTCTGGGAAACATCCCTGAGGATGATCTGAAGACATACCATCACAATTTTGATCGTCTGTAGAGGGCACCCCCGCTTCAGTAGCCCGATGACCTGCAAGCGAAGTCGAGCACTTTACGGTAGAACATTTTAACGAGGATCCACTTTCCCTTCGTAGACAGATCCAAGTGGTCACCCACCCGCACTTGACTTCGGTGTTCAACCGGGAACCACGTCTTAACGATCAGTCCACTGTGAGACTACGGGAAAAATACTATTTAGAAATGGAAGACGTAATTAAAAGCTACGTCATCTAACTGCAAAAACTTAAGTGATATACCTATCCAAATTTAGTGCTGAAAAACAGTAAAATTGTGTATTATTTAAAGACAATACCGAAGTTCATACACACTTTAAATAATGTAGTTAAATTTAACCAAAAGTAATTAATAAATCTTACACCAAATCAGATGCCTTTCACT